ATCAATGAGTTTGTTTTTATGCATGTCCAGTCCTGATTGATTATTAAAAACACACTGATACATTTCATTAATATTTATAGGGATTCAGTAGTCATACAAATGCATCTCCACCTCAGTATTGTTCTGTACATGCTTGCACTCATTGCTAAGTCCAGGTTTAGCAATACGTGTTTTAGAATATTGGAAATCTACATGGCATGGGCAGATAATGATAAAATATGTTCACCTGAGACGTTGTGTTCATAGCTCATTCATATGTATGTTTTTGTCGTCATGCTTTAGGGCAGTCTATGTGAAGTGTCCATTATTCCATGCTCTTAGAGTCTCGTCAAATTCCTTTGCTTAAGGTGCATATTTTTTATGGTGATTATTTCTGCTTTGTTGACAGTAAGAAAACAGATGACAATCAATGGTGGGAGTTATTTGATCAGAACACTTCAAGATTTTATTATTACAACGCTACTAGTCAGAAAACAGTGTGGCACAGGCCGCAAAACTGTGATATTATACCATTAGCGAAACTACAGGTAAGTTCAGCGTTTCATTTCTCTTGCTCTGAAATAATAGACGTTGAATATAATGTTCCATTGCCATGTAAAGTTAACCATACTTCGTCACAGTTTACGCTGTGTTTGATGTGGCTTTCCATACCATGCAAAATATATTGTTTGTTTACATCAAATGCCAATGCATGCTTGCCTGACTGTGGCTGCCATTATTGTGGCACTATTGTGTAAATATTTGATGGTGGGAATGTGCACAAATTGGAGTTAATATTTTCTGAAAATTCAACTTTCAGTAATTTTTCATTTCATCTCAATGTTGGTATTCCCGTTGGATTGTTTCATGTTTGTTTGAATTACAGTTGTTTAACACTTTTATCCATGGATGGATTCGAGTGAATCCCCAAATATTTGCCAAAATGCAAGTATATTCAGAGCAATAGTCTCCAAAGCCGCAATAAAACTATAGGGATAATTTCAGAGTATATATTACTTATACTTGGTGAAAATGTGTTTTACAGTAAATAAAAACAAAAAGATTTCTATTTTGTAAGACCGCCAATCAGTCTCGTTCCTTTCACCTTACACTGAATGCAACCCTGGGTTGTTGGTCTTGGCTGTCCTCAATGTTCATCTTGACTGCTCTTGTAGGAAATACGAGAAGGTGACTTCTGTTAATGCATTCATTGGCAAATGCAGCTTGCAGTCAGAACCAGGCACCTTGGCGTCAGGATTTATGAACTTGGCTTCATCCAAGTATGAAGTGTTTTAGGGATCAACCAGTTCATGATTAAGTAGCATGTAAACCCCGCCTTCTCCCTTCTAATGCTATAGGAGGGTTATTTGACTGAAATGTCTACAAATATATGCAAGTACTAAACGCAGGTTAGAACTGTTTGAAGGAACTACATCACCACCCATTCTTTAAAAAAAAATTCATCTTGCACTTGTTCAGCCCGTCAAGTTCACTCCAGCATCACCTGTCCACTTATTAATGACTGCATATTAGTAACCTAATTTCCACCTGCTAATTGCCCTGTCTATATGTGCTCTTTATGTATCAATTAATTAATCTGGTCTGAATACATCAACCATTGTATATTGTTTAATACAATGGCTTAAACTTCACAGAGGCATCAAAGGCAATTTTATCAGTTCAGGTATTGAAAATGGGTGCCCTCTCAACTCTAAAGTTCAAACCCCTGATACAGACACAGCTGAACAACCCTGGCAGGGTGGCATTAATGGCATAACATGTATTTGATTATGTTAATACATTGTATTAGAATAATTTGTCTACTTTTTCTATTTGAAGATTGTTGTTGATGAGTTGCTTAGAAAAATACACATTATGGCATTTTGTGTCAAGTCCCTCCCCCCCCCAGAACATTGTTGAGTAGTGTCCTTACTGCTTACATAGATAGAGCACAATTACCATAACAATGGCTACTATAGCTGTGATTAACAGATTGCTATGGTACAATTTAATCACAGTGTTGTGATATTTTCAAGGGAAGAACAGAACACTGATATTTCTCTGAAGACGTATTGATTGATTGATTGATTTCACCAGAAAATATACAACAACAGAAAACAAACAATGTGAGAATGAAGAAAAAAAGGATGTTTTAAATTTTCTGGTTTGGTCCAGGGAAAATAGTTCGTCTGAACTAATCTAGTCCAAGAACGAACTTATTGTATGATATTTTGATAATAAAACTGGTTAAATGATTAAATAATGATTAGAATAATTTGATTAAAATAGAGTTAGATAGGTA